GAGTTAATGTGTTTCTTGATTTAAGCAAGGTTACATGATTGCTTGGGACAGGAGGCGACGATAGGGTTAGTATTTACAAGTCAAATTGCTAAAGTCGGGTTGAGATCAAAGTGATTAAATATCGAGGTGAGCAAGTACAAACAACATTGAGTGCTTTTGGAAAATCAAAAGCACCAAAGCAATGTGCCTCACAAAGAATGTTTTTAATTAGTGCATTTTATCTGTGATGACATTGATCGCAAAGATGGTCACTCACTAAGGAAATAGAACGCAACTTTTAAAAAGTATACACAGATGCGTGGGGAGTCAAAAATACATTGACCAAAGAACAAATGCAAATTAGGGAAATCATGTTGACTGTTTTAGAAAGTAAAACTATAAACTTAAAGCTATAATAATAGTATTTTACCAGGTAAAGCACACAGCGATATAGCTTTTTTTTAAGTTACCTGGCCACAAATGATAGCTCAACGAAGTGGCTTACCATGTGGACATTTATAGCAGCGAAATACTCTAAACGCATGTTTCTAAATGTGGAGGGGAAAACGGAAGGACCCAGAGAAAAATCCACGCGACCACGGGGAGAACATGCAAACTCCAAATATGCAGGCGTCAGGGTTGGGATCAAACCCACGACCTCCATTATGCCAGTCGAGGTAGTTAACATCTCGCCACTTGGGCACCCGATAGAAAGGGTTGGGACACGTTATAAGAAGGCATGATGGCCCCAATGGCTGGGACTGATGACAGAGTGGCAGCTGAAGGAGGAAACTCACCTGGGAGGATAACCACCACAGGGATGGAGCAATGACATCAGCTCATGTCCAGGACCTAAATGGACTGTTGGTTAGCGAGGTCTCTTCCAGCAGTGAATGGATCATGGCTAAATGATGACGATTAATTTAATTGTACACGATGAAGCGTTGTAGAGATAACCTAAGCCACGAAACAAGCAGGAGAAGTAAATGTTAGCGATATGTGTAAGTTCCAACCAGATAATTGATTAACCAAATGTATATTGCATTTAACATGCACTTTGCTTGCATCACTAGTCACATCATCTATTTTAGCTGTAATATAAAGCATGTATTTTAAATTATAAAATATTTATAGTCTGTTTCATATGCCGTAGCATTTGGAATGTTAAACAGAAACACACTTTTTTTTCTGATTTATAGTTGATATATTCACGCAATTAAAATGGTATTATCTCAAACACACAATCATGGCATCCTTGTTAAAGAATGTGAACATATATTTATCAACGAAAAGATAAATCCATTACTCAATACATAATACACGCAGAATTGTATTAGGCAGCCTATTTATTGGGGACACCAGGGACTTGAATTTAGCATTCACCTCCAAACTTAATTGTTGGTTAGGCTTTGCGGGTTTGATTAGGTCACAAATGCAGAAACACATGATCAGTATCTCTGCATCACGGTGTCTCGCTTAAAATGCCTGCTTTGCCCTCTATCTGAAATTGCCACCGTGAAGGGCAACCAGGAGTTGAAAGACAAACGATACCATCTGATTCCCTTCTGTTGATCTTGTGTGAAGGCTTCAGTTATTTGTTATGAAGTGTCGTGTGGAATGTTTTTGGTATATTTTTCACACATTATTGTCGATGCTGATTTAAAACTATTTGCAGGCGCATACACATTTTTCAGAATCATCAGAGCTTATTTTCAGCAGCGTGTTTTGTTAGTTTTATTATCTGTTTCAAATACATTTTCATTTAATTATAATTTATTAAACCAGCTGAGAGCACACTGAGATATTATATCTTTGAAAGTCAGACCTAAGTGGATATGACTATGCTATGGTATGTAAAAGTGTGTTTCAATACTCATGAAAGCTTTGTGCAGGGCTCATCTCAATGCTCATTCCTGAGATAGTAGTGTACATTCCACATTCCTGTGATGGGGCCCAGATAGAGTTTATATTTAGGCCACACATGACCTCAGTGTTGGGTCCTCGAGCCCAGACCTCAGCCTCAAGGTTGGCTCAAGGACATTTTCTCAGCTCTCTTTCTTGACCTTCATCTCGCCACAGGTACTGCACTGCAAGACTTTTGAGGAATTGGGTCCTATTTCAGACTGGTCATGTGCCATTTCTCAGAATGATAGCTCTCAAACAATGTTTAGGTTTCTAAAGCTTTCATGAAACCCCCAGAGGAATTCCTACAGAAATACGCGAGCGTGTCCTTTTTGAAGAAATGTGCCTCAAATTAAGGTTAATTTAAGACTACTGTTGTTAATTTAAATGTTTTTACATTAACTGCAAATTATTGTTCGAAATTATTGTCAATGGCTTAATACAATCCTCAGCCGAGAATACAGTATCCGGCCTAGACCTGCCTGGACACTGGGCTTTACCTAAGAGACCCCAGGCTTCAACCCTGGCCTTGGCTTCGTTAATCAAAGTCTCACAGATATAGGAAGCTTAGTTGATAGGTAATTTTCACACGTACAGCGTGAGCCATTAAAACAATACAGTGCATTGGTTAGAAAATAACCACTAGAGCTATCATATCGGCAACATTTAGGACATTTGAAATCAATATAATTATTCAGGTTCTTGTCTTTTACAATTTGTAAATTGTATTATGGTAGTTATAATTGGTTGTGTTTTTTCTGTATACATAAGAAAAGGCCAGTTTTCAGAAACAGTGTGCATATGCATTTCAAGTAACCATATGGCTCAGAGTCAGCCAAGTGTCCATTTTCCACTACTGTACTTGACCCGTGTTAAATAATGGTTATAGAGCTCTGTCTGTTTGACTGGGTCTTTGTTTGTGTGTCTGTATGTGTTTGCATGTGTGGGGGGTGGGGGGCGTAGTGTTACGGTTAATGGGCTGCACAATGAACTCGGTGGCCCGAGTTTGATTCCCGCTCATGGCCAACACCAGTGACGAATATCTGAACCGGTCCTGGGCCTCCCCTAAGTCGACTCAGCCTCAAATAAGTACCTGGTGCAATTGGTAAACATGACCACTTAGGAGACAAATCCAGCCGGGCATGGTGCTGGCCATTCACCCCTTTGTGTGCCGTTCTGGCCTCCATAGGTGCTCGCTAACAGCCCTTGCCCCAATTGTCTACTAAGGCTATGAGGGGGATCTTGATCTTTGTTTGCATGTGTGGGCACAAGCGTCGTGGTGACGTCACCGCCACTTAGTGGCGAATGGCGGTTGTTGTTGTTGGCTACAAACCTGGCGATCTGCATTCAGTTACTCCTCACGACTCACATCAGTGACGAATATCTGAACCGGTCATGGGCTTCCGAATAGGTTGACTCCACCTTAAATGAGTACCTCGTGTTAACATCAGCACTCGGAGACAAAGGTAGCCAGGCGTAGTGCTGGCCACCCACCCCCTCGTGTGCTGTATTCACCTTTGTAGGTGCTCGCTAATAGTGCTTTCCCCAACAGTCTGTTAATGACTGCACAGGCGATCTTTGTCAATGTGTTCGCATGTGTGTGCATTTAGGGAGTTGTGAAAAAGTAGTGCACTTCACAATAATTTATTTGACCATGGTTTGATTATTGGCCACGTGCAATTCTAGTGATACTTGGCATCTGCACCTCAACATAGGTTGACTCAGCCTAAAAAGAGAACCTGGTGTGGTGTATCAACACAGTAGTTAGCACTACGGAGACGAAGGTGTTCAAGTTTGGTGTTCACAGAACCACTTACTCAATTTTTGCATTGTCCTTATTTAGTGAAAAAATCATGGATGTGTGTGTCGGTCTGAGGCCATATAAATCCATATGGTGCAATAGTATTATGGTTCGACACTGTCCTACGATATAAGAATAGGTTGTATCCTTTCTGGCAATAAAACAGGTGTTAAGATATTAAAACACTAAACTGAAACCTTTTGCAATGGCTGGGACTGATACATCAACCACATATACTTGTGGTGAACATGCACAAAAATAAACATGCTCTGGCAGTTTTTGCATTGTCTTTGAAACTGATTGGTCCACACCAGAGACAGCTTTCTTTAGAGCTTAGTCTTAAACAGTGTTAGACCAGAGGATGCCAAACGGCAAACATTAATTCATATTTAAAGTGTGGAAACAAAACAAATTAAACGTGGGACTGGCGTTTTGCTTCTATTTCACAATTATTGCGGCTATTGGCTTCAAGTCGATAAATAAATTAGTGTTTCTTGGCTTGACCATCAACTTAGGCAATATTTTTGTTTGTTCAAGCGTCTGAGTCAGCATGGAATTTTAACACTGCCACCCTAAAGAAGCACAGCAATATGGTATTAATACTGTATTTGATATTCGCCACACTTTTGCATGTAGGTTACATAATGCACAAGGAAAGAACATCCCCGCAGACCCATGTGTGGTCATGGTATGATGCTAATGTAAAGAGACAGTCATTTGGAGACCAGTTGTTGTGTCTGGACTTGACGGATGTCTTGTTCCGCAAGTTCTAGTCCAACGAAACACGGCGCAAATCTATGTACAGTTCACGTGATCCACACAAAGGCAGCCTTGTACCCGCAGCGCGTATATATTTACGTAATACAGAGGAAAAGAAACGGACATTTTATTTCATGAAGAATGCATGTTGACCACATGTGGAATCGGAATTGTATTTGCAAATACCCTCAACTTGTAGCAATGCGCTGTCAAACCTAATTATGGCAATCTTCTGTATAAATTAAATATGTATCACTTCCAAGCAGCAGAAAGAACCCATTTCATTATAAAGAGTGTTGAATAGTTTCTGTGCAGATGGCGATGAGACTCCCACAGATACTGGTTTTATTTATGTATTTCTCCCATGCAACATTGCTTCGAATATTTTCATTAAAATATAGATTCTGCACAAGCCATGTTGAGTATTCCATATAATATGCATCACCATCGTGTGAAAATATATAAATTGTACGTATAAATGTCCACCACTGGCATTCAATTGATAAATTATCGTGCATTTAGTTTTTTTGTTAATGTTCTATTTTGCCATTATTCCCAGCACGGAAGACTGCAGCAGGATTCCGCAGATGTCGACTTGGACATTTCCTACGGAGACCGGGTAAATATTCTATTCATTCCCCACCCTTGGCAGAGTTGAATAAAGAGGCGTGCCAACTGTTGAAGTGAAAATGCAAGCTGTTGTACAAAAAGCATTTTCACTAAGGCCGTTTAGAAAGTCTCCTCATGCATTCAGGGTCGCTTATTTTAGAAATTGTTTGTTGGAATGGACTCATTCTGCACGTTGTGCATGTGTAGTGTGTATAAATGGAGAGAGAGAGGCTTCTCTGGAGGCAACACGTTTATTATAACAATAACGATAACAGTCCCTGATACAAAGGGGTAATGGCCCCTTCCACCAGATACTCTAGGGAGGTATGTTCTCCGGGCTAGTGTGCCCTACACACTGGAGGAACAGCTCTCATGTCGGTCCTCTGGCTAACGGGGTCTAGGGAGGCTAACTCTGACCCGACCCAGCCAAGGCCCTCGTGTCCTGTCCCTGGCTCCAGGTCTTCAGGGTGGCGTCTTCGGATTTTCAAGTGGACAACAGCACCCGGACCCGTTCAAGGGTCCGGCTTTTATAAACAGTCCCAGCTCTCTCCGCCCCTAGCCACGCCTTCCTTCTCGAACCTTGAAAAGGGACCTGGAGTGTGACGTCATCCCCCCAGCCCCTTCTTGGGGGTCTGGGGTCTGCACCTCTGGTCACGAGCCTCCCTGGGAGTCACCTGAGCCCAATGGCCTGACTTAATCCGGGCAATCTAGTTCGGCCCTTCTTCCGCCCCCTGTTGACACGGGGCCGGTACTACCGGCCAAGAGTAGTGGCGACCGCACATCGCGCCCAACAGTGCCACTACATCACTCTCCCCCTCATAGCATCCAGCCGTCCCGGCTCCCAACTCTCCCCCCAATGAACAGTGTATTTAACACAACGCAAGCACGTGTGCCTCAACAACCAGCAAAAAAAACACAACAGTAACCCAATCATGAATACCCTAGCCCACCTGTACAATATCTACACTATCTACAAATATACACAAGGAAGAACGACGGGGCCGGGAATAAAAATAATATTGCACGTGCGAACGCCCACGCCCCACCAGTACACGCCAAAACCACAACAACCACGATGTGCCACCAACCGTTGGCATTACAAAGGTAAGGAAAGGCTTCTGACCGAGACAACCTGCCGGACGTGAAGGTGAACATGCGGCGTGGTGCTTGTGTGAGTGAAGGGGGGGAGGTCACAAATATCTAAAAGTCTTAGATCGGGTCCGCATCGCTGGACCACCAGAAATGTCAGGGAGGTTTGGTGGTGGGCCAGCAGAGACCGGCCCTGCATGGGGAACATCCGGACGGGCGGGTGAACTCTAGACGTCAGGAGTCACAGGAGCAGCCGGCGTGGACGGCTGCGGAGACTTTACTCTTGCAGCATCTGGGGATACAATGACAGGACTCCGCTGAGAGTTAGACTCCACAGACACGCAACTCGACTCATCGGACACATCACATACACGGCCCCTGCATCGCGGAGATGGAGTGAGAATGCGCGGCACAAGGAAGGTTTTGAGGCGCGATGGGTGAATGTACCAGTACTGCCTCCCCCATTGAACCATAATACACTGCGGGCGGACGACCTGGACGACGTCGACAGGGCCCCTCCAGGGCCTGAGCAACTTTGGCGATGTGGCCAAGGGTACCTGGGGGCAGTGGAGCCAGGCCTTGTCCCCTTTGACCCACACGTGTCCGGATGCATGGAGGCCCCGCAATCGCTCGTTGGCCAATTGGCTCGAATTAGAATTTTCTTTAGCCGCCTCCTGCGCTTCGGCCAACTTCTGGATGTTGATCCGCATGTGTTCCGTAATTTTTTACTTTGAGTCGGGCGATTTGATGCACAACTGCACCTCCACGGGGGTGTTGACATCCCTGCTGTACATTAAATAGAATGGCGAATAGCCGGTTGCCGCGTGAGGTGTCATCCGGTACGCAGCCAGGACCCCAGGAATCTGGAGATCCCAATCAAGTTGCGACTCGCTCACTTGATGGTACTTCATGGAGGTGATCGTCTTATGCAGACGTCTTATGCAGACGCTCAACCATACCGTCCGTTTGCGGGTGCATGCTCAGCAGGTTGCACACGTCCCACAGCAAGGTGGATGAAAATGTTTCCCTTGGTCGGTCAGCAGACGCTCAGGAACACCTTTGTCCAGGACATAGTCCTGGAGAAAAGCCTAGGTGATGGCCGCCGCCGACTGGTTGGGGAGTGGCCAGGCCATAGGCTATTGTGTGAAACATTCCACCCAAACCTGCAGGTCTTGTTACCCTGGGGGGTGGTGGGAAAGGGTCCAAGGACGTCCAGCACGACAAGCTCATTGACGCGGGACACCTGGATTGACTGCAAGGGCAGACAGGACGGCCTAACTGATGGCTTCCGCCATGCGCACTGGACGCAGCCCTGCAGCAAGTCGGCCACATCCCTTGCCATGCTCGGCCAGAAATCTAGCTGGGGCGTGGCAAGGGTTTTGTGCACCCCCAAGTGCAAAAGGCGCTCGTGGACAGCCCAAACAGCCTTACCCCGCAGGGCATTGGGCACAAAAATTTTGTACCGGCGTGAGCTGCCATCCCATTTCAACAGAAGGCCGTCGCGCAGGATGACGGACGTGAAGCCCTCGCGGCTCTTAACCCCATCGGACTGCCCGGTGCAGCGGCGCAACCTGAGGAGAGAACTATCCTCCATTTGTAGGCATCCCCAATCTGCGAGGTTCAGGCCAAGCATTGCATCCCGTACGACCGCCCCATCAGCCTTTACTGAGGAACCCACCTCAGAGGGAACCACTTCGGCCGATGCAGCGAGGGGTGGGGGTGAGCAGTCAACTGGCCGCTTGCAATGCCCCAAGCCCAGGAAGCACGCGCATTTGTTGCTCGTTGGTAACCGCGACAAAGCGTCGGCGTTAGAGTGTTGGGTGCCCTTACGGTAGGTAACCGTAAATGAATAGTCCTGGAGGACCTCGAGCCAGCTGGTCAACCCATATTGCGTACTGCAGTGCCGCATGATCCAACCGCACGGTGAAGTGTCTGCCGTACAGATATGGCCGATATTGTTGCGCGAAAAAGACGATGGCTAGCAGCTCACGGAGAGTAACGCAAAAGCGTTGCTCCACCAGAGACAACACTCTGCTGCCATATGCAACAACACATTCGACCCCGTCGATGAACTGCGACAATACCCCGCCAATGTCTGTGTTGCTGGCATCCGTGTCGAGAATGAATGGCACGGAAAAGTTGGGGTAGCGTAGGGGAGGGGCATTTACCAAGGCATCGCAAAGTGAGTTAAACACGGCATCCTCCGCCTACCCCTAATGGGACTTTTAACCCTTGGCCATCAGCGCATGGAGGGGTTTGGCGATGGAAGCCAACCCCACCACAAAGCGACGATAATATGATGGGAAACCGATGAAGCTCTGCACTGCCCCCACTGATGTGGGGGTCGGCCATGTGCAAACACAACTTGTCTTTTCCCGGTTGGTGGCAATGCCTGATTGGCTGACAATATGGCTGAGGTAACGCACGGATTCCCGCAATAGGTGGAATTTTTGGGGCTTGAATATAAGGTTCGCCGCTCGCATTTTAACAAAGACAGCCCTCAAGCGCTCCAGGTGTTCCTAAAATGTGCGGCTAAAGACAATGACATCGTCCAAATATATCAGCCATGAGTCCCACTGTAGCCCAGCGAGGACCAATTCCATCAAACGGTGGAATGTCGCTGGAGCCGAGTGGAGACCCATGGGCAGCCGATTAAATTGAAAAAGGCCCTGCGGCGTACGGAAGGCGGTTTTAGGTTTTGAGGCCTCGTCCAGGGGCAATTGCCATAATCCGTACAAAAGGTCCAACATTGAAAAATAACGTGCCCTCGCTAAGGCGCCCATTGATTCGTCCATTAGAGGAAGGGGATACGCGTCTGCCACCGAAATGTTATTAAGCTTACGGAAATCTACGCGAAATTTGTATCTGCCATCATGGTTTTTAATTAGAACAATTGGGGCCCCCCATGGGCTGTTGGATGGAGAAATGATGTCCGCGGCTAGCATGTCATTGATGGCCAACCTGACATGCTCTTTTTCAGCCGGTCTCGATATGGGTTCTGCCGGATGGGAGCGGCGTCACCTGTGTCAATATGATGGCTCAGTAATTTAGTGCAGCCAATGTCAAATTTACTTTTACAAAAAACGTCGGTAAATTCCCGTAATAGCGTGCGCAATTTACCCCTTTGGGAGTCAGACAGGTTGCCAGCCGCCGAGCAAAGCGAATCCAACCACCGTCCATCGAGGTCAGAGTGCAGTTGCGACTGCGGTACAGCTCCAACGTGGCCCACGACCGAATCCCCCTGGAGCGCGGGCGTTGCGTGAGAGAGCACAGTACCCTGCGGGATGACGATCGTCCGCAACCCTGCATTCAAGACCTGGATGAAGGGATCCCTATCGCTAGATACCAGAGTCTGTGCTCTGACCAGCACCAATCCATGCAACGCAGTGTTCGACGGACCCAACAGGATACCCCCTGCTGTCGCCCCTGAATCGAGTGGTTTACGTAACCGAAGGGGAACGAGCATTTGCGCACCCGGAGGAATGTGCAACGTCTGGGACGCCAACACCTGCACGGTAGCATAGGCCGTGTGCAACCAAGTGGGGAAGGGCAGCAATGACATACGCCGGCCGGAGGGGAGTTTGATGTAACCCTGATCGATCAGAATTTTGATAGGCATTTTACCTAAGAAATCAGTTACTAGTAAGCACGGAACGGCAAGGGACGAAGAGACTAGAATAGAGCCCATCAATTTTACATCACAAATACAAATCTGGGCATTAATCTGGCCAACTATGCCCAATGACACTCCATTAGCGGCGAAACATGGCACTTCAACGGGGTATAGGGAACGACATTTATTTGGCAAAATGTTGTAAATAAGGTCCGAAATGATGGTTGCTGACGCCCCCATGTCAACCAGAATTCTAAAAGCGAGCCCCTCGATAGATCCAATAATGTCGGAGGACCCCGCGGCCGCGG